CGATGAAGGGGTCACTGGACCATTCACATATGGTAAGGGTAGGAGCTACATTGACCACTCCGCTACTTCCAACAGAAGCTTGTGTGTTAAAGCAATGCAGCAGTTAGGCATGGTTGAGGCGGGTTCCTACAAGTCACCCAATCCGATACACCAGATCACTTTCCGTGACAAAACGGCCCCTCCGGCAGATTGGAGCCAACTGGCCCTAGATCCGCTCATAATGCAGCAGTTTTACGACGTAACACTCAAGCAATTCGGATCACAGGCATTGTCCTTGGCCTCACACATCCGTGCGTTTCTTCCACTGGATCAACCCTTACCGCCCCCCAGCTCAACACCTTCGCCGGACCCTACTAGGTTTCAACGATTGGACCACACCTTCGTTCGATCCCAGTGGTTGTCGTCGGTTAACTCCTGTAGGTCAAAGCTACACACAGGGTACCCATCGGACCACTACCTCTTGGTAACTGAGGTCCAGATCAAACTTGCGCAACGAAAACAGCGCCCCAAGTATCGCGCCAAATTCGACTTTGCGCAGGTCACACAAACAGTTCGCGATGCATTCAACCGTACAATCCGAGCTTCTCTTTCAACAACAGTCGCCCCCCAAGACCACCCCGCTGAAACAAGCATACATAGCCCGTCCATTTGGTTCTACACAGATGGAGCAGGCACCAAAGGGAAAGCCACGGGTACCACACCAGCAGGTTGGGGTTGGTGCGCACGCCTCTCCCCAAACGGGGACGGGACCACACCGCCAGATCTTACGGCCTCCGGCCCGGTTTGTACCGACCAGCGACACGTTAAATACATCGGCGCTAGAGTAGGATCCAATAACACAGGCGAGCTTACTGCCATCATAGAGGCACTGCTATACGCACATGAGCTGGAGTACAGGGAAGTGGGCATTTACACAGACAGCCAATGGTCCCTTAACATGATCACAGGTAAGTGGCGCCCTAAAACCAACAAAGACCTGGTGCTCTTGGCGCAGACGCTAGCCTACGAAGCAGGAATCAAAACAAGTTTTCAGTGGGTTAAGGGTCATGCAGGTCACTACTACAACTGCATAGCAGATGGCTTGGCAGCACAGGGTAGGGATAGCAAAGAGTATAAGGGAGGCAGGAGACAACCAATAGCAACGCACGCCTCACAGACCACGCCCCCCACCATGCACGGCTCGCTCACCGATTTCCTCAACGCGGCCAAACATTCTGCCCAGGAACACTTCCCCCTGCAACAGCGCACCATTGCCAAACCCTGGATTCGTGAAGCCACGCTGAGGGCCCTGGCGCAGGCCCGTGTTGCTCAAGCTGAACAGTCGGAGGACTGGAAAAAGTTGCGCAACCAGGCTAAAAGATTAGCACGTAAAGATAGGGTCCATTGGGTTCATGAGCAACTGCTGGCTGATCCGGCAGGGACCACATCGCCAGTGTGGAACACGGTTAGACGTCAGCGTAAAGGTTTTCAAGGCCGCCGTACTCAGCTTATAGTAGAGGGTAAGCCAGTACCATGGACGTCAACCCATGTTGCTTTCCGAAATCATCTACAGGACACACAGTGGGGACAACCACACATCCCGGACCACTCCGCACAGAAACGCTCCACGAGATTACCCCTCCGTCAGCCAGCACCGGATGAGCCCTTGTTTACCCGCGGCGAATTGTTGGATGCCTTGGGTAAAAAAACCAAAAAGGGGAAAGCGCCGGGCCCCGATGGTATAGTTAACGAAATCCTTCAGCTTTTGGACGCGGAGGGCGAAAGGCGCCTGCTGGAGTTTTATAACGAAGTTTGGAACAACAGGACCACACCGCCAGATTGGTCTCACGCAACAATAGTTTCTATTTACAAGGGAAAGGGGGATGACTCGGACCCGGCATCATACCGCCCCATTTCCTTACTTAACGTTACCTACAAGGTGTATGCTGCAATGCTCCAAGCTAGGCTGGCTAGCGCATTTGATGAAAGACTTCGTCCACAGCAGTTTGGTTTCAGGGCTGGAAGGGGCACACGTCACCCCCTGTTCGTGGTCAGAAGGGCTATGGAGTGGTCGACCATGACTAACAGAAACCTACAATTACTATTTCTAGACTGGAAACAGGCCTTTGACTCCTTGGACCACACCGCTATGCTACAAGCGCTGCAGCGCTTTGGACTTTCACATAAGATGTTGGACAACATAAAATCTATCTATGCTAATCCAACGTTCCAAACAGTAGGTCTTGACCACACCGCCGTAGGACAAGTTAAGGCTGGAATTAGACAAGGATGTCCGCTCAGCCCCTACCTTTTCCTTATTGTGCTAACTGTGATCTTCGAGGACCTGGACGGGGAATTGCAACAAAGGGGGGTCCCGACCAACACATGGTCAGAGGGGTTCCCGGTGGCAGATATGGAATATGCAGATGACACGCTACTCCTTGCTCTGACCACACCGCAACTCCAAAGCATTCTAAGCGCCCTGGAGGAGCTTGCAGCGGAATATGGTATGTCCCTAAATAAAATTAAAACGGAGCTCCTGGTACGCCCCAACTACTCCGAGCCTGCGCTGCGATTTAAGGATGGGTCAAGCGTCCCCACAAAAACCGTAGTCAAGTACTTGGGTAGCATGATCTCCTGGACCAAGCCTTTCGAGACAGCTTTTTATCACCGGGCAGCTCTAGCTGAAGAGGCATTCAAAAAACTAAGACTTATATGGAATAGCACACTCTGCCTCAAAGAGCGTCTCAAAATCTTCCAGGCCACCTTTCTTCCCGTTCTAACTTACGGTCTAGACGCACTTACCCTAACCACACCGCACCTCAAAAGAATAGATGCATTTTACATTCGTTTCCTTAGAAGAGTAGTGCGAATTAAGGCCTCCTATTACTCCAGAATCCCCAACGTAGAGGTCTATGAACAGGCACACAGACCACGCCTTCCATCCCACCTGCTCTCGGACATGCAATATAAAATGATGAGGGAGGTATTCTTGGCCCCTAGAAAGGAGGTATATCACTCTGTAGTCTTCGGTTCGGCTCACAAGGATCGGATTCTCAGCCAGGGACGTCGGCGGGGTATGCAATTTCCCTACTGGGTTGAAGTGGTCTCTCGCCAGTACTTTCCTCACATTTGCAACTCCCCCGACCACCCCGCCCTAGGACCTCATTATAAGTACGCCCAAATACACAAGGAGCTGAGAAACCCCCAACTCGGGAAGACGCCAAAGCGCGCGGACTGGCGCGCAGGGCCATAGCAAAAAAAAAAAACCCTAAACCCTAAACCTTAAACCCCTAAACCCTAAACCCTCCAAAGACTGCGGCCAAGCCGCATTGTGGTCGAAGCGGACATGGTGCAGGCGCCCTCTCCGAAGCCGCGTGTCTCCTTTGTGTTTAGGGTTTAGGGTTTAGGGTTTAATTTAATTAGGGTTTAGGGTTTAGGGTTTAGGGTTTAGGGTTTAGGGCTTAGGGTTTAGGGCTTAGGGTTTAGGGTTTAGGGTTTAGGGTTTAGGGCTTAGGGCTCTGCATTGCGTGCGCGGCTTCCTCCTTGCGGTGCACTATGTGCCTTCATGGTTTCGGGCTTTCTTAGCGAGTATTCTTCAACCCTATCGGAACTGATTCCGAAAATAGGGGGTACACAGAAGGAACAAACCCAGAATACTATAGTTACTATAGTCAACCAGGTACCGGAAACGAATCTCACTGCAATCATTCCGAGCACTTCTTGCTATTTTTTAAATCAGTAAACACGAAGCAGACGCCGAGGGGCCGTCTCCTCGATCTAGCGACTTGGCCGCACGGGTACTGCGGCCGGAGGGGGAGGTTATTTCCTGGCCGAGACAGAGTCCATGAGGGTTCAGGTTTTGGGGTTTAGAGATTTCTTTTGGGTTCGCATGAACGGCCTGAACGCTCGCCGTAAGAGGTCAACAGTAAGATGCGATAGTACCCTAAGCTGAGGCGAGGTAGCGCCGAACTGCACCATTGCTCTGCCAGCCGATGAGCCTAGGGTGCGCCAGGGTTCAGGGTTTAGGGTTTATAGGGTTTAGAGGTTTAGGGTTTAGAGGTTTAGGGGTTTAGGGGTTTCGGGGTTAGGGGTTTAGGGTTTAGGGTTATAAGTCGGCCCCTCCTGGTGCAGGGCTTTGTGGTTGACATGTGTGTGTGTGCTTCTGCTAATTTGAACTATTCCGACTAGGATTTACACGGCTTGCGGCGATATAAGGGCCATACGTCTTGTGGCTGTATAAGAGCCAAGCATTTGCTTCGGGCTTCAGAGCTACTTTGCCGGGCCTCCGCGCGTGGCGCGCAGGGCACGGATGCAGGGCTGGCACGCTCCTGGCCGCCAGAAGATTGAAACCCTAAACCCTAAACCCCAAACCCCAAACCCCAGAAATCCGACACCCTAAGCCCCAAACCCCACCAGAAAATCCTAAACCCTAAGCCCTAAACCCTAAACCCTAACTCCCACAAATCCTACCCTTCCACTCTGAGACCCTGAAGCCCGGAGGCCATGGTTGGCGCTCACAGGGCCTCCAGCAGCGTCGCTGGCCACGTGGCTGCAACATGGGTGGCCTCCTAGCTGGCAAAGCCAAGAATGGTTCAGGGTTTAGGGTGTAGTGTTTAGTGTTTAGGGTTTAGGGTTTAGGGTTTAGGGTTTAGGGTTTAGGGTTTAGGGTTTAGGGTTTAGGGCTTAGGGTTTGGGGTTTGGGGTTTAGGGTTTAGGGTTTAGGGTTTAGGGTGTAGGGTTGGGGTTTAGGTTTCTCTGGGGGGTTGGGGTAGGGGTTTGTTGGATTTCAAATTCAAAATGTGGGGGCCTATAAACATCTAAGCTCGCCCACTGTGGAATCCCAGAGTTTAGCTCCTCTGCTAAGGATGTGACAAGGACACTCTAGCAAAGATCGTGTCGTCTTGGAGGGAACTTCATGGGGTCAAATTCTTCATGTCGCTGCCACAGCTCATCTGGTCGCACCGACGCGGTTATGCTGTACTCTAGCTCGAGCTCGCGGCTTCTCGGTTTTCGCTATGTCAAACGGTCTTCAAACCAACAATTTCTATACGAAGTCTTCGCACAACAGCTTGAAGTTGCTCGAGATCTTCCTTCATCTGACCCATCTCTTTTTGAAGTTGTCTGAGATCTTCCTTCATCTGACCCATCTCTCTTTGAAGTTGTTTGGGATCGTCCTTCATCTGACCCATCTCTCTTTGAAGTTGTTTGATATCTTCCTTCATCTGACCCGTCTCTTTTCTCTGCCACTGCAGGGTGTCGCCCGCGTCAACATGTGGCAGTGATTTCATGTAATCCCACAAACCATCATCGTCGTCAGAGGCAAACCAGTAGATGTGACTGCGTTCGCTGACTTGGTTAATCTCTCTTTCAAGAGCTGTTTTGGCAGCAGCATCAAGATTGGTGCCACCCACCAAAATCACACCAAAAGTGAAAAATCTTTGAGTGATGGTCCTCATTGCTGCCTCATCCTCTCTTCCGACGCTTCCCTGCTGCAATACGAGGATAAAAACAATCCGATTTCGATACGACACCTGCATGTTCCCTTCGACATCCGAGTCGGACTCCAGGATCTGCAAAAGGTTCTGAAGCAGATCTGTGCGCTTCTCTTGACTGGCACTGAGCATGTCCACAAGTGTCCACGCGCCATGTTGATGAGACGGAGGAGAAGGGGCATCAAAGCCAAAGTTGCAGGTGTCAGCAGCCTGCTCAGGTTCGAAAGACCCAAAGCGAGTGAAAGCGTTGCACAGTTCTCGCGGTAACCCGCGTGAACCACCCAACAGAACAGCTCTGTCTTCTTCAGCAACATACTGGCCCACATACGCCTTGCACTCTTGTGCGGTGATGTGCCCGTCCTTATCCTCATCAATTTGTTGCACTTCTTTCGCCAAAAAGGCCTCGACGTGCTCTCTCTTGCTGGGATCCAAACCGCAGTGTCGCTGGTGGAGATTGCTCCGAAAACCCTTTGCGCCGCTGCCTGATTTCAATTTTATTTTGAACTCCTCGGTGGTGGGGGGATCCAAGCCAGAAGGCATCCAGCAGGTACTCTGCACATCTGCCACAGTCAGAGGTACGTACGCAGCCCCACAGTGATCCTCTTCTTTGCCATATGTCAGGCAAGATACGACTGATGGCCATGTGTGCCAGCTGGCATGGGAAAGACTGGGGCAAACATCTTGCCAGCAGGTCCAATTCAGGGAGCAAACTGCTAAAAAGTAGGTCTCTCTGGCTTGAGTGTCCTTCACTGCATGCCGCCATAGTTGCATGAGGCACTCGGACGTAGGGACGAAGGCGTTCTCACCCAAACTCTTAACCACCACTTTTTCGAAAACCTTGTAGTAGCACCCCACATTGTAGCTACATTGAATGGGCAGCTCCAGCCAGTGTCCAACATCTAATGTCAACAGCAAGGTGCCCACTGCCAGTACAAGCCGTACTACAAGTCGTACCATCATCAATGTCCGTACCCATGCCCACACGCTTCTTCTCTGGCCGCTGGTCCGTGCATGTCCCGCTTCCACTGCATCGGCACCCGCCCGGGTCTCAAAAACGTCCCACATGGTTTGGAAAAGAGCTAGGCAGAGTTTTCGAAAAGGGAGCTGAGTGAAGCCAAAACAATGCAGCAGCAATCGCAGGACATGTCCGAGGATCGTTGATGCCTGCAAACACATCAGGCAATTTGTCGAGCTTTACATCGTAAGCTCCAAAATGCGACGCCCTAAGCGCTACATCGCAACACCCTGCTCAGGATCAAAAGGTTTCTAGCATACGGTCCAGGGTTTAGTTAGGGTCTAGTGCCCACAAGCTGCGCACAAAACTTGCTTGGTGACGAGGCTTCAGCCTAGAAACGCACGCAAGATCTCCTGCGTCTAGGGGAGCGGGTCAGGCAGCCACAGACAGGTGACGTGACGAACTAGTCGCGCCGTCCCTCAATCTCTGGATTGAGGATTCAGGGGTTTCGATTGGGGCTGAACAGAGGATGATGCCCCCAAGCCCCTAAAGCCCAAAGCCCTATGTCTGAAAGCTCTAGAGACATAGGCCCACCCTCCCCTCTGTCTCTTGTCCGATAAGGGCCACTACATGTCTTCTCCCTGCCTTCTGTCAGACCCTGCATGCTGCAGGTCTTACAAAGACCCCTGAACCCTAAACCCTACGTAGCCTACGTAAACCCTAAACCCTAAACCCTAAACCCTAAACCCTAAACCCTAAACCCTAAACCCTAAACCCTAAACCTGAAACAAAAAAGAACTGTCAACTTCATGTCTTGCAACTAAGACTCGTCGTGCTTCTCCGCCGGCAGCTGCGAGGCATGCCTGTCACGTTTGGCAGCAACGCGCGCAGCCACATCTAGAACGATGGGAGTTTACGAAAATAGGGGACCCTTAATATAGACCCCCAAGTAGTAGGATGCCCTTACAGAAAGGACCCCATTAAGGTACCCCTGTTATCGTAAGACCCCCCCTATCGGTTTGCCCAGCTACTGAAATATCTACATTGGGGGTCCAAGGGGGACTAACAGGACACCTGAGCACCTGAGCCCTGAGCCCTAGACCTTAAACCCTCAACCCTCAACCCTTTTGACCCTAAGCCCTAAGCCCTAGGGTCCTGAACACCCTAAATTGCAAGCCGCGGACCCCAAAGCCCCCCAAAACCCCAAAATGCTAAGCCTTCTGAGTTACCCTAAACCCGAAACCCTAAGACCTAAACCCTGAGCCCTAACCCCCTGCATCCCCCATGAGGCAGCCTTGCACAGCTCGGCGAGCTGTGTGGCCTGGGACTTTGATTTCGGGCTGCACGGTTTAGGGCTTTGGGTTTCTAGGGTTTAGGGTTTCCGGTTGAAGGGTTTAAGGGTTCAGGGTTTAAGGGTTTAAGGGTTTAAGGGGTTAGGGCTTGTTTTTGGGGGCTTTTGAGGAATGGAGGGCTGTGCCTTGGTACGGCAAATGAATAGGCTTAGTTATGTCACCCCTTATACATACACAAGGGGACGAGAATCATACCACTGGTTCCCGGGTTTATGCAGCTTTTTTGCTTGAAAGAAGGGCCACAATGTTCCCTAAATCAGGTCGGCTGCCAATGTCCTAAACCCTAAACGAAAAGCCCTAAAAACCCCAAACCCGAAACCCTAAACCCTAAACTTGGCACAAAAAACACCAGAAAATTGCCAATCTTGAGCACCAAAACATGCACCAGAGAAAGCACAATCTTGAGACACCAATTTCTCGAAGACCGCTACACTAGGAGCATCAGCAGGAAAACACAAACTTGAGAGCACGAAACACAGCAGCACAATCTTGAGCGCAACAAGTAGCACCACAGAAAGCACAATCTTGAGCAATTGCACCAACAAAAACACAATCTTGAGCACAACAATGACACCAGAAAAAGCACAATCTTGAGCACCAAAAAGAGCACGAGAAATCTTAATCACACTCATGTACCAGGCCTTCAAGTATGATCATGAGTCACTCAGGAATGTCCAATTTTGCGGGTGTATTATTTTGTGGGGGGGGGGGGGGGGGGGTGTTTGTGTTGACCACTAGTGTGCCCGGGCAAGTCATAGCCCTAAACCCTAAACCCTCAACCCTAAACCCCTACTTCCGCGAGGTCTGAGGAAATGCTTTGGGCTTGTAGATTTCGGGTGCAAAAGGTTGCGGGCCTTGGCGTGCCTTGGTTTGAGGAGTTGGTGTCTGTTGAGGGTTTCGGGTTTTTTTTTAGGGTTTAGGGTTTAGGGGATATAGGTCGTAGGGTTTAGGGCTGATATAGGGTCTACTTCAGATAATAGGGTCATGTAGTAACATCAAATCGTGCCCTTACTGATTTCGCAATTTCAGTCAGGACACGGTGAAATGCTGAACCTTCCGCTGTTAAATCATGTGTAGTCTAGACCCGGGAGTAGCCTAGGAATAAAAACGGTACCCATTTTGGTTTTAAGGGGATTATAAGGGAACCCCAACCCTAAAAAAAGGAAAAAAGGGCCTACACCCGGTCCCAGTAGTGCACAACTGAGCTTCTGCCACTCGAGGCTTGTGAGCACAACTGGACTGAAAACATTATGAAGAGCAGGCCCCCAAACCCTGAAGCATTAAAACCCTAACTCCTCAACCCTCCAACTTAAACCCTTGCCCCCCAGAGCTCTTGAATGCCGGCAAACCCTAAACCCTAAACTTTACCCTAACCCCAAACGCCAGCCCCCAATTCCTCAAGCCAAACCAAACTTTGGGTGTAGGAAAGCACCCCCAAAAAAGCCCCCCTCCCCGCCCGAGGTCGGGGCATCGCCCACGATAGGAGCTCTTCATTGGAGCGGCCACTCGCCTTTGCTATGCACCCGAAACCCTAAACCCTAAACCCTAAACCCTAAACCCTAAACCCTCAACCCTAAACCCTAAACCCCTGAGGCTCAACCCTACTGCGTGAACCCTATGGGGAGGGTGTAGGTTTGTGCTACGTACTTCACCCCAAGACCTACACCCCAGACCCTAAACTCTAGTATGGCTAGGATGTGGATGTTGGTCTTAAGTGGTCGGTAGCTCACGGGTGTCGTCGTGGGCGCCAGGTCGAGGGTGAGCTTCAGGGCATCCGTACTCGATTTGGAACCCGAAGAACAATGCAATTGCTTGATATTCCCTTAGGCTTTATGTAGACAAGACACACAGTATTTCTTGAGGGAAACCATAGGTATGAAGCCCTAAACCCTAAACCTTAAAATATAAACCCTAAACCCTAAACAATCAACCCTAAACCCTAAACCCTCAGGGGCCCTGAGGGTGGAAGGTCAGGAGAATGCTTCAGAAGGATCCTGTCAGTGACGAGCTTGGACACGCCAAGGTTCTCTGAACCCCAAGCCCTTGTAGGGTTTAGGGTTTAGGTTTTAGGTTTTAGGGTTTAGGGTTTAGGGTTTAGGGTTTAGGGTTTAGGGTAGCTTTACAAGGAACAGCGACCCTAACCCTAAGGCTCCATGCGCCTATGTAATACTATTTACTTGGGCCCTAAAGCTACTGTACAGGAACCCCTTTAAGTACGTAAGTGTACACCATATAGGTACGTGGACCCTTTGGGTAAACCTCGCTTCCCCCACCACCACCACCATCACCACCATCCTACCCCCCCACCCCCCCACCCCCCCACCCCCCCAAACCCTGAACCCTGAACCCTGAAACCTGAACCCTGAACCCTGAACCCTGAACCCCAAACCCCAAACCCCAAACCCCAAACCCCAAACCCTAAACCCTAAACCGCACCTTGCAGGCCCAGGCCACCCGCGCCCCGCCCCGCACGGTGCGCTGCGTCATCGCCACGGCCAGACCGGCGCATCGGAGGAGGTCCACCGGCTCCTGCGCTTCTTTGTTTTGATTCCACGGTTTAGGGTTTAGGGTTTAGGGTTTAAGGTGACTTTGTTGGCATGTTCCCCCTAAGACTAGCAGTCCTTCATAAGGATTCTGGTATCCCCTACAGATCTCACGCTCATGATTTTCTCGTGCATCAAAAGCCTGCAAGATTCCACGCTCCATCAGATGCGTCCAAGATGCACCCAAGTAGCTTCTGTACAGCTCAAACATCACGACATCAAACGATTTAACTCTAGCTAGCCCGAACGGCCTGCACTCCCCTCTCGCCTTAGGTGAGATAAAGGCCTCGGCGCATCAGGGCTACTGCAAAAGTCTGCTACAGCCTTCTAAATGCCCTGCTCATCACAGGTAGGCCAAAAGTAGCGTAGAACATCATGCCATCGGCCATAGACTACCCACTTGACTCCCGCTCAGGAGAGCTCAAGGCTCTTAACCTACAGATCTCACGCTCATGATTTTCTCGTGCATCAAAAGGCCTGCAAGATTCCACGCTCCATCAGATGCGTCCAAGATGCACCCAAGTAGCTTCTGTACAGCTCAAACATCACGACATCAAACGATTTAACTCTAGCTAGCCCGAACGGCCTGCATCCCCTACTATGATCCCTGTTAGCCCTTAAGCCCTAAGCACGTAGAACGAAGTCGCCTAACCCCCTAACTCCCCCAACTACCCCCCATAAGCCCTATACCCTGTATCCGCCACAAGCCCTTCTGAACCCTCGTAAATGCTTCGAAGTCGTTATCCTTAGCGTACGTACCCCAGCCGCCTGGCGCATTTTAGGGTTTAGGGTTTAGGCTGACGACGGCCTTTCCATCCAAGTGTAGTTTCATGGTCCCTTAACATGGTCCCTTACCTCCTTTAAAGGGTTCTGTGTGAGCCCATGTGTCTTATCGGGTATCCCATACTAAGGGACCATGTACCTGCCCCAAGATTCCCACCACTTACACAAATCCACCCTTAAGGCACACTTGTGAGGTTTTTTGGGGGCGTAGCAAACCTGCCCAAAACGAAGTAGCAGAAGCCGCAGGAATTTCGCCCGGTGGGGCTCTGGACTAGGAAGCCCCCCAATCCCTAAACCCTCAACCCTAAACCCTAAACCCTAAACCCTAAACTCTAAACCCTAAACCCTATCCCTAAACCCTTAAACCTACCAGCTCCGCTCCGCCAGCTCTGCTGGTTCTGTGGATTCCTGCCGACACAGCGGGGCTGGATGGTGCAGGCGTTAAAGTCGTACATTTCATATGTCTTGTATTTGTCTATGCATATATTCCTATAATCTTATGTCATTTTTACATCGAAACCTTTCTCACATTCTTATGCAACT